CCCGAGCCCAGCAGGTCGAGGTTTTCGGTGGCCAGGAGCGGCCACTGCCCTCCAGCCTGGGCGACAGAGTGAGACTCCAATTCAAAAAAAAAAAAAAAAAAAAAAAAAAGAAGGATTTGGTTGTAGTCAAAGGGCACAAGGCTAGGGGCACGGTGACTCATGCCTGTAATCCCAGCACTTTGAGAGACCGAGATGGGAGGATACCTTGAACCCGGGAGTTGGAGACCAGCCTAGGCAACGTAGCCAGGCCTGTCTCTACAAAAAAAATAAATAAATTAGCCAAGTGTGGAGGCACAGGCCTGCAGTCGCAGCTACTTGAGCAGCTGAACCGAAGGATTGTCTGAGCTCAGGAGGTTGAGGCCATGGTGAGCCGTGATTGTGCCACTGCACTCTAGCCTGGGCAACAGAGTGAGCTTCCAACCCCCAAAAAAACAGGGGTACAAAGAGTGAAGGGTGACTGGGGCTGTCGGGGAGTGGTTCCCACAGCGATAGGATAAGGGAAAGGAAGGCCTCACTTTCCTGTTTCCTGTCCTTCTCTAACCTCCTCTTTCACCTGCCTCATCCTGTCCCTGCAGGTGCCAGAGTCCTCAGCAGCCTCCACCCTCTACCACACATGCCTCCCTGGCCTCTGCTTCCCTACACCCTGCGACAGTGGTGGACCATGAATGACAACCTTCACATCAGGGTGCCCGTCCCACAGACTCCTGGGATGGGGCGGCCCACCCTGACTCATCTCATCTGCCGCTTGGTGCGTGTATGTGTGGGCATGTGCCTGTGTGTGTGTGGGCATGTGCCTGTGTGTGTGTGGGCATGTGCCTGTGTGTGTGTGTGTGTGTGTGTGTGTGTGTGTGTGTGTGTGTGTGTGTGTGTGTGTAGGGGCGAGAAGCTGGCAGATGGTGCCTCTGCCTGCTCTTTGTCGCTACCTTTATTTAATTCATGTTATTTATTCGTGGAGCTCAGTTCGTGTGGAGGAAATGCCCTCTCCTGAGCTGTCTGGGCCTGCCGTGGTCACTACGTAGCCTCCTTTTCTTCTGACTTTAGACCCCCCCAATCAGACCTCAGATTCTTCCTCATGTCAGCTGCCCCCGGAGGGGAAGGTGGCCAGTGCCTGAGAAGACAGTACTTTTTCTACCCGTCTCACTGCATCACCTCCATCTCCTCCCACTCTGATGGTGAGCAGCCCCTAAGCACTTTCTGGTACTAGAAAACCACTGGGTGCCCACTGAGGACAAGAGACATCCTGGCAGTGTTGGACCTGTGCCGTGGACAGAGCCCCGTCTCCACTTTCTGGGCCTTAGACAACCTCTTTCTCTTTCGGCCTCTTGGACTCCTTGTCAAGGACAGAAAGGACCTCACCACCACAGCCCGTGCTCTTCAGCTTTGGCAAGAACTCACAGCTTCCCAAACCCTGCCTCTGGCCCACCCTCCCAATCCTGGGGTGGGAATTGCAAACCAGCCCGTTGCTGCCACCTCAGAACCTGAAGGAAATGGCACAGTGATTGAGACAATTTGAAAGTCATCGAGGGAAGTCCCTCCTCTGGGTCTCTCTGTTTCCATCCCCTCCGAGAAGTAACTCTGGTCAACGAACCATTAAGTCGACTCCCCATCTTTTGAGATACTGCTGCTTCCTGCTTTGATCATATCTTCCTGCAGCTGCCTGGATCCCAGTTCATATGGGAGGTGTCACTGTCATCCCACCCTGGCTAAAGGAAGATATTCAAATCAATTGCTTTTTCCTCCACTTAGCACAGGAAACAGACACCCAGACACCATCTTTTCTGACTTTGCCTATCACCCTGTTTCTGAATCACATTTTGGGTGTGCTGTTTTGTTGAAAATGGACGCTTTCTTCACTAGTTGTTCAAATTGGTCCTTACCTTACTTTGTGACAGTCCAAGATGTCTCCAGGTATCTCAAGTGATAGGTAAATTTCTACCCCCCAAAAAGGATAACTTCCATTGATTTACTTTTTAAGAATACTTTGTGGTGGAGAGATGACAAAAGCAAGTAAGTGAGTTAGGATTTCAAAATGCCCTAGAATATGAGGCGTTCTGTCATGAGGGTGAAGGTATGAGAATGACAGATCGGCCTGAAATGTAGTGTGTAATGCCAGGCACAGTGGCTCATGCCTGTCATCTCAGCACTTTGGGAGGCGGAAGTGAGGACTGACTAAGCCTAAGCCCAAAGGTTCAAGAACCCGCCTGGGCAACTTGGCGAGACTTTGTCTGTACAATAAATCAAAAAAATTGGTTGGGCATAGTGGTGCGAGCTTGTAGTTCCAGCTACCTGGAAGGCTGAGGCAGAAGGATCACCTGAGCCCAGAAAGTCTAGGCTGCAGTGGCTGTGAGCGTACCACTGCACTGCAGCCTGGATGACAGAGTGAGACTCCAACTCAAAAGAAACCAATATACATTATAAAAAAATGCAATGTGGTGTGTAGGAGGTGGCAGTGGGGGCGCTTCTCTTTCCTTCAGGAAACCTTTTCTTGCCCCTTTCGAATTCTGCTCTGAGAATCAAGCGTTGGTCTGGTTTCCCTCAGTGATGCTGTCATCTCTGCAATCATTACTGGACCACATGGCTGAGCTGCCCAATTGCCATTTGCTCCTGTCCTTCCAGGAAATCACAATGTTCATCAGAGCCCAAGAGATGACGTGAGACTCAGGATTCGAATCAGAGGTCTGGCTGTGGCTGGGACAGGAGTTGTGTGTAGAAATTCCCCAGGTGGCCTGAGCGCAGGGGCGCCTCCGGGCTGCGCCAAGCGGCCTCTCCCGCTGACCTCTCTCTCATTTGTGGATGAAGCAGCACGTATCACCCCATTCACCACTTGGACACGTCGACTCTGCATCGTCCGGTCTTTCCTCCCTCACAGTCTAGAGCACAATATGCCCAATTTTACCACCCCAGTCTGAGGGCTGGGCCCGAGGGATGGCTGGAGGAGGGACTCATGCCTGCAGTTTTGTGTATGTGTGTATGTGTGTGCGTGTTTGTGCGTGTGTTTACCTCCACAGGGGACACTACACTCAGTGTAAGATAATGCTGGGAGAAGGGCCACCAGGGGTGGCTGGATCTCGGTCTCTGTCTCTCTTTCTCTCCTTTTCCTTTTGATGTATCAGACATTTGATTGACAGAGTAAGGGCCTTGATTAGGACCAAATTTCCTTGTCTGTTGCTATGGTCTTTATTTAGGACAAGAGTTAACAACGCAGTGGCCCATTCTTGTCACTCTACACATACAACTATACGGGACATATGTAATATATAAATATATATATATATAAAGCATTACCCTCTGTCCCCTTGGCTTAGGATGGAGGCCTCTCTGTTGAGCTGAAATGCACCTGCAGCTTGGTTCTGCCAGCAGCCTGCAGGCCCCAGCCCTGTTCAAATTAACACAGTCGACAATAAAGGAATGAGTATCGTCACGGAGTTGGCTGCCTGGCTCTGCTTCCTTTTGTTTCCTCCTGCTTTGACCCCCTTATTGATTTTCTCCCTTTTTCTTCCTTGTTTTCCAGTAGGGGTTCGAGAGTATTTGGAACCCAGCTGCAGTTTGCAGTTTGGGAAAGAACAGGCCGCTTAATAAAAGGGAATCTGAGCCGGGCTCGGTGGCTCAGCCTGTAATCCCGAGCCCAGCAGGTCGAGGCTGTGGTGTCCCGGAGCGGCCACTGCACTTCAGTCTGGGTGACAGAGTGAGACTCCAACTCAGGGAAAAAAAAAGGGAATCTGGCCAGGCACGGTGGCTCACGCCTATAATCCCAGCACTTTGGGAGGCCGAGGTGAGGGGATTGCATTTGAGAACAGCCTGGGCAACTTGGTGAGATCTGGTCTCTACAGTAAATAAAAAAATTAAGCCGGGTTCGGTGGCTCAGCCTGTAATCCCACGCCTTTGGGAGGCAGAGGTGAGTGGATTGCCTGAGCCCGCAGGTTCGAGACCCGCCTGGGCAACTTGGCGAGACCTCATCTCTACAATAAATCAAAAATTAGCCGCGCGTGGTAGTATGCACCTGTAGTTCCAGCTACTTGGAAGGCTGAGGTGGAAGGATCGCCAGAGCCCAGCAGGTCAAGGCTGCGGTGGCTGGGAGCGGCCACTGCACTCCAGTCTGGGCGACAGAGTGAGACTCCAACTCAAAAAAAAAAAATTAGCCGCGCGTGGTAGTGCGTGCCTATAGTTCTGGCTACTTGGAAGACTGAGGCGGAAGGATCGCCTGAGCCCAGTATGTCAACGCTGGGGTGCCTGTGAACGTGCCACTGTGCTCCAACCTGGGCAATGGAGTGACTCCAACGCAAAATAAATAAATAAATCACATAAAGCATGTTTTACCTGGCCCCTGGTGGATTCCGAATTACAATTACTTAAACGCTTGATCTGCTGCCAGGTGTGGTGGCTCACTCCTGTAATCCCAACACTGGGAGGCAGAGGCAAGACAATTGCCCAAGCCCAGTGTAGGAAACAAGTCTGGACAATTTAGTGAGATCCCATTTCTACAATAAATAAAAAAGTTAAGCCGGGCTCGGTGGCTCAGCCTGTAATCCCGCGCCTTTGGGAGGCTGAGGTGAGTGGATTGCCTGAACCTGCAGGGTCGAGACCC